GTCACTTTTATACCACTATTTATACAAAACGTTTGTTTGAGTTTTGTTTGTATTTTTATTTAATATTTAATTGTTTTTCACATTTCAATAGTTATTCTTTGAAGCGATTTATGACTAAAACACAGGTTTTGTGCGAAAGTCTGCGAAAAGAAAATAATTTATTGAAAAACTATTTGAAACTCATTGAAGACAATGAGGCGGTTATGGAGACCACGAGTTGTGGTCAACAATACTCACGAAGAATAGTAGACATGAAAGACACGTATCGGCGGATGTGTTGGAAGTGTTTCACGCGATTCAGAGACGAAACCATTGGTTTGCGGCAAACATTTCCTGTGATGAGTGATATCGACGAAGACGTGAACTTCTTGTGTTGCCTTTCCGTGGATTCGTTCGCCAGGTTTACCACCGATGATGAGTCTGTGATCACACTATCTTTACTTAAGGTATGGCTTGTATTGCATATTAAATATGTAATTAAAACTAACTGTTATTTTAATGTATTATTTAGTCATTAAAACAATTAAAACGTTTACAAAAATCGGAGTTCTTTCGGAGAATTGTCTGTATTTTTATCACTATTTGTGTCGACAAAGAGTTAGCAAAAAGCAAATCACAAGAGGTTTACAATCAAAGAGTTTTCAGTGAAATCACGCCATTGTTTGATGAATTGATCCGAGAATCGGAACAAACATATTGTGAACTCTTATCTGTCTATAAGTGCGCGAAATCTTTGTGGACGTCATCCGAGGTTTCGCTCATTAAATGCCGTGATTTGAGACAAACCGTTGAATCCATTGAAACCGTAAACCTATTGAATGCCAACAGAAATATACGAAAACATTTACTCATAGCTCTTAACATGTGATTACTATTAATGCTATTATTTTGTGAATAGTTTTTAATTATGTTTTGTTTATTTGTCTCAAAAGTGTCGACGAATGCGATTCACTCGTAGATGAAGACAGTGTTGAAAGAAGTGATGATTTTAGACATCAGTTGTCACTAAAAGTGGACTCAATTGGCGCTGAAGTGAAGAATTTGGATAATTTGGTCATTAATTTGGAGAAAATGCTTAGAATTGAAGGTTTGATTGAATTATTGAATTAAAAAATAATTTTTAATTTAATTTTTAATTATTATAATCAGAGCTCAAGAAATCAAAACAGAAATCATTTAATGAAATGGAAGTGAAAGGCGAAGAATCGGTGAAACCATTGATGACATTATCAACGGTTGAAGACTATGTGGTTAGGGATCAGGTGTTTGAGGCGTTTGTCACTCAGGAATGCCATGAAATTGATGTCGAAGTGAATGCCGAAGAGGAACAGCTCTGGGAATTCACGGTATGTCTGAATCAACAATATTTTGCATACAATGTAATGATATCACAATATTTACCGCAATCTTCAGCGCAAAGTAACTCAAGACTCGACTAATCTGTTCCGCGAACTCAAAGTCGCCCTCAAATCCAAAGCCGTTGAACACGAGTTAAGGGAAGCGAAGGCTTTGGGAATTGAACTACAGGTGAATCCAATGAATGACAATATAAATAAAGAGGAAGATATGGTGACAGCAGCTGAAGACCCAATAAGTGATGACAATACGAGTCAAACACTTCCCAAACAGAGTTTTTATGAACAAAACATAGTTTCAACTGAATTGTCGACCGAAAGTGATTGGACTTTGAGTCCACATAAGTGTCGGCCAGAATTGAATGCATTCTCGTTGTCCTCTTTTGAGTCAAACATCGCTTCATTTGCCGCACAAAAGGCCAAAGATTTTGGTTTAAGTGAAGGCACGGAATGTTTTGGCGATGACTCGGATTCCGAGGGCTAAGTCCTGGCCATCAAATCGCGTGCTTTAATACCTATGTATTGCTTGCTATTAATAATGTGTGCCTTTTGTCTGTTCATTGAATTAAGATATTAAATAATTTAATAATTTGTCCATTAATTTTGTTTTACTTTCGATATGTTTAATTTTTTTTAAAAAACTATTAAAATATTTAGACTACTTTAAAATAATCATAAAATTTAAGTCCATATTATTCGTTATACTGAACATAAAACTTTTTATTGATTTAAATAACAATTGATTTTCTATTTATTTGTTTATTTATTTTTAACAGACTTTTAAATATACTATATATAAAACTAACGCAAATAATATTGGTAAGAAAATAATTAATTACTTATTTAACTAAAAAATATTATTATTATTTCAAAAAAATCAATATCTTATACGCAATGAAACTTTAGATAATAAGTTATTATAACTGTAATATAATGTCATCTAATCTCCTAATGTATGGCTTGAAGTCATTGGGAATTCAAATATTGAGAAACTATTTGAATATATTATATATAATTCATTATTCGTTAGCAAATAATTGTCAAAATACGTTAAAATAAACACATTATTAAACTACTTATTAAAACGCGATCTAATCATTAGTATAGGTATTGTATTAATAGACTTTGTCTCTCATATATTCTCCATATAATGCATATAAAAAATTATTGATTTTTAAATTTATTTATTTCATTTTTGATATTCATATCCATAGAGAATATATTGCAGAATATTTTCTATAGAATATTCTTATTGTAAAATGAATTTTCTTTGTCTACGCATTGAATAAATAAAATATTTTTAAACAACAAATACTACTAACGATTGGTTTGCAAATACATAATCAAAGAGTTTACAAAATTACAGAATATTCTGTAATAAATTGTAAACATTAAGTGCTCATTGAAAAATAAATGATTAATTTTATAATCTATAATTAAAAGTTACAAAAATGGGTGCAAACTATAAATTGTTGATTAGTTTTGCTGTATTGACCCGACTATTGGCCGGCATAGAGTGCCGGTGCGGTTACCCAGAGATGCCATACATGTCCAAAAGTATCGACAGTAAAGACTACTTCGAAGAGGTAAAGTAACTTTATATATAAACTTTATATATATATAATATAAACTGTATTTATATATTTTGTTGTATTCAATAATTGTTTGATTTAATATTGATGTCAAAGTTAGATGTTTTGTCCAAATGTAAGTTTTTGAGTAAGAAATTATTAAATAGTACTTTCTTTTCTTATCAGTCCCTATATTCACAATCCCTTTAGTTATATAGACATTTAATTCAATACTTTCTTAATTACATCATCATTATAACAATAGGAATAACTTATATCGCAGTTATAATTAGTTAATAATTTTAACTAATAATAAATCATTGCAAACATAATAAAACACTCATTACATTATAGGGCGAAAAAATATCGGTCAGTTGTATCGGTGCGGTGGCCGTCGGGCAGACACTCAGGGATCACGTAATCCAGTGCCGGAACAACACATGGAACACGACAAGCCTCCGGTGCTCTGCCATTCACAACATCACCGGCATTGACATCAGCCTCGAAGACGGCGACGGCAACAATGGCCGCAATTTTGAGGCCCAAGAGTTTGAGTACCTGACGGATGCTGATCCGGGCACTTGCGTACTGCTCCGGGACAACGAGCGCTGGATCACACACTTGTCTGAGCGTAAGTTTGTGTCCAACGTGGCGGTGATCGGCGCCCTTCTGGACGCCGCCAAACGGGACACACCGATAGACGTGTCGATAACACTGCCGGACGGCCAGCGGTGCTCATTGGAGGAGCGCTCGGAGGCCGAGCACTCGGCGATGGTGTTCATGGTGTACAAGTGTCCGGACACAGCCGACCCGATCGAGTCGCTGACGCTGGACCTGAAATCGGTGGACATTAACATCAATATCTGCGGACTGGAAGTGTTTGCCCTCTTGACCGACGATTGCGGTAAACCAGAGATACCCCTCTATTCCTATACAAATCAGTTGCGGATCCAAAACGGGACCAAAATAGCGGAATACGTTTGCGCCAAAGGCTATCGCATGATTGGCCACTCGCTCAGGACGTGCGGCGCCGACGGCCTGTGGTCGCCCCGACAGCCGCCCACTTGCGAGCCAGAGATCCGGTGCGAGCGGTCGGCTGTGGAACCGGTGGAGAACTTCACCTACGAGTACAAAGACTTTGACCTCTTTGGCAACGCTGTGCCCGACGTGTCCACTATTGTCTACCACTGCGCCAATAAGTCAATGGTCGCCATCCCATTGACTGAACACTACTGTCAACCCGACGGCAACTGGTCTGTCGTGGAGTACGCGCCCGACTGTCACCCCAGGCGTATGTATAACGTGTTCGATCACCACTGGATCAATGATAAGCACCTGATATACTACGGCGCGGCCGGACTGGTGGTGCTCTTCATGGGATCCTTTGTTATACTCTTTCATATGAGACGACTGGCGAAGAAGATCTCGCGACAGATGCGGGAGAAGTCCTATTATGATCAGGAAAAACAGTTGCCTCACTATAACAATGAGACCAATTACCAGGATCTGACCAATTTGTTTGCCCAGCATGATGCCTCACAGGGCCAGAGCTCGCAGGCTGTGCCACAGGTCCAGCAAACCGACCAAAAGTATTAACGGGGTATTAATTAATGTATGATGTCTTTATTTTGAATAAGCTATCTAGTTCATTTCTTATGGGTTTAGTTGTTTTTATTTTGACAAATAGTTTTCTTGTTTATTATTGGTTTAGTTATGAGAATTGAAAATTAGTTTTTGTAGTTTTGAAAACTATTTAATTTTAATTTTACATTTTTTTTGTATTTTATGTATTCATTGCCTATTGTTTTGTGTGGTTTTGCTTCACAAAAAATGTGTGCGATTTTTACCATTAATTGCTATATATTTCACTAATATTTAATTAACAAGTAGTTAATTATTATAAGAAATTTTTAGTTTCTAATAATTGCCTACCAGTGCTCAATACATAGTGTGTTTGTGTGAATGTGTTTGCGATTGGCACCTGTAGGTTATATGGAGTGAACTTCACCTTTAAATAAGTTAATGTTTTTTAATTATTGATTAATTTATTATAAACTTAATAATCGATATTAATATAATTAAAAGTGTGGTATAAAGTGACTATAATTAAAATAATTTAACGTGCTTGTTTTGCAGCACCCCTTTACTGTGTCCACCAGTTCTACCCCTCCGATGATGTTTATGCTTAGATAGTGGAGTGTAAATGCAATTTGTTTTGACATTTATGCATTTTTAAAAACTATTATTAATTATTCAAACAATTAGTTTAATGTAATGTTTGACATTAAAAATAGTTTTGCTTTTCGTACAAAAATCAAAGTTTTAACCTTTACTTTAACTTTTCAATAATTTATGAATTAATATTTATAATCAAAAATAAATAATTATAAAAATAATTTATTTTTCTATATATTATAAAGATTTTGATTAATTAAAAAACAAGTATTGAATCTCAGGTATAAAATAACTCGCGTTTATTTGAAATTGTACTGAATTTTGTTATTAAATTAGTAGTAAATCATGTTTTTGTTGTATTAACAATCAAATTGTATTTAATCGCATTTCTAAATAAAATTATTATAAAACTTACATGATAGTGTTATTAATTGGTATTCTTAAAATAACAACGTGCGGCCAAAGTAAATGTAAATCATTTTAAAATTATTGATCTAATAGTCAAATCATTGCGACCATTACTGGATTAATACATTAATGTATTAACTGATTAGTATTAATACAAATGATTAGTTGGTATTATAATAAGCCGGGGAAACATCCAATCATTTATATCAATATTAATATCTTTGACTGAAGATTATTTTTAAAACTATGATATATTACTATATTATTAATAATAATTTATTATACTTTAAGTTTGATATTTAAAATTTTGTTTATTTCATAATTTATAATAACTTTATTCTCACATAATTTGCAGTGAATGTGGCTTTCAATGGCATCCCATAGCTATTATATGCGATGAATAATTGATAAAAATACTTATCATTAAAAGTAAAGTTAAATTAAAAGTTATCATAAGTTATTATTATAAACAATATATGGTAAGTTTTTTCATTAAAAATATCCTAACTATTAATAAAAGCTACAAAAGTCTATGAATTCATGAATAGATTTCATATTCATTGTGTGTCTGATTTTTCTACTTATTATTTTCCATTAAAACTGATTATCAAATTAAACATATTTTGACGTGAATATCATTATCGTTAGAGTTGTGTTTCAAATACCAAATAAATCATACTTTCATATACGTGTATAATTTTTACACTACGCTTAAAACGGCTTTCATTTAGTCAATTGAGTTGTCATTATTTCATTAAACAATAGATGATGTTTTCGTGTGCCGATTGTGGTCTCTGTGTGACCGGTCAGACACCTGACGGTCACAATTGCGTCCAAGAGCTGGTTAAAGACCGGGAGGTATACCTTCAGCAAAACAATGATCTGAAAACAGAGTGTAAAATATTGCAATCCGAGAACGAAGAGTTGCGCAAAAAGTTGAGCGCCGAGTATATGCCGAGTGCCGGTGCCAGCGGTGCTGGCGATCTGACCGGTAACTTACAATGATATTTGTTTAGACACCCTTTTATATACTTATTTTGTTTCAGAAAAAACTTTATGGCCATTTGTGTCGACCGACGCGACGGTGAGTTTTGGCACCTGTAAGGCAATTGTGGGCCGCATAGAGTTGACCAATAAGTGGGCAAACTTGAGCCAAATCGCACTGATGGACAGTAAGATTGAACCACCAGAAAGGGTAGAGATTGGTTACATTCATACATCTCGGCTAACCATATGCGCCGATCCAACTGCACCCACACTACGGTTTAGACCCAAGCATTGGAAGGCAAAGCATGTTATGCAACAATTCAAAAATATGTATCGAATGGACGGTTTGTATAAATTATTTATGCATTTAATTTGGGATCAATTTGTGATAATTATGTTTATTATTGTTGTGGCCGACAGTTACAAAAGGCGATACCATTGATATAAGGCTGAGCGCCAGTATACCGGCGCCGGCGGTCATTCAGCTCCTGGAGTCCTATTGCGAGGCCAATGTCAATGAAGAGGGAAGTGTTGAGTTGATCCGAAAGCGCGATGTGTTGTGAATATTAAAGTATATGTAAAACATGTATTATCTGATTGTTATTCATAATTATAAGTATTTAATGTTTTAATATTAATGTTTGTAACCACAATTCAGTAGGAATAATGTGGTTTATTTTCTCAATATAACACATTTTTATTCACTAAACATTTATTTTAGATAATTTTTATAAACTATAACACCATTAATAAAGATATGATTTTATGTTAAACTAAAATCCAAGATATTTTTAAAACTCAAATTATTAGCTGTGGTTATCATAAGCCGGGAATCATCTAATCAATTGGTTTTGTGTGCCAACACCTGTGTCTACACATCTTATACTTAATCTCATTTAAAAGCACCACAAAAATGTAAAAATTATTTTTCAGTTTAGTCTGATTTTATTTAAACAACACTTTTATCTTTCATTTGACAAACATTTTATTTGTCGCATAATTTTGTGATAAATACAGAGATTTTAAGTACAAAAGACTCATTGGATGTCTGACCAGAACTGAGAACACAACTCCTAAAGAAGTGTTTAATATTTGTCAAACAATTGTCTCAAACTTTTAATTATATTTTAAACTGTGTGTTAAGACAAACAATTGTTTTATTACGAATTAATAAAATTGTATTAATTGTTTGTTTCAATCATTTTGTGTGAAAAATGCCACAAATGTATAGTAAATCATCTTTCGATAGATTTGGTGACGATTTGTGCGAAGAGTTGTTGTCTTTCCTCACATTACATTTTGTGTGAAAAATGCCACAAATGTATAGCAAAAAATCTTTCGATAGATTTGGTGACGATTTGTGCGAAGAGTTGTTGTCTTTCCTCACATTTGAAGACCGATTCCGTTGTGAATGTCTATCAAAACAGTGGCGAAGAGTGGTATATATGAGACAATATGTGCTACCATTTGATTGGAAATTATTTAGTAATAATTTGAATATATTTGAAGAAATTCTGATTAAATGTCCAAACATTACACGTATTTGTTATGAAGACGATAACACTAATAATTATAGATTACCAAAGGATTCATTCATTGATTTAATTACAAAACATTGCAATCATTTAACAGGCATTTCTCTCAATGTGTATTTAATTTCTGTCCAAACTATTGACCAATTTTTCTCAAAGTTTGCCAAACAATTAAAATCCATATCATTGAGTGGTTTAGACAACACTGTTATGAATGATGTGTTGTCTAAATGGCTTAATTTATGCGTTAATTTGAATGCAATTAAAACTCCGTATAAAGTCTCTAATATAAAGACAATATTTAATTTTGAAAATGGTTTGCTTTACAAACGACTCAATTCATTGAGTTATAACAGAGAATCGGGAAATGCTGTCCATTCTCTGTTAGCATTTGAATTGTTTGCTCACAATTACGGCCACAATATTAAGTCAATTGAATTCCCAATCAGTAATTTTAAAGACGAGAATTTGGTTAACAAACTATCGGATTGTTTGTCACAAATGTCGGCATTAATATCACTGAAACTGTGTTGGGGTCCGTATGAAGTACACCAACACTTGTTGTCACGAATTGGTCTCAAATGTCCACAACTTATGGCTCTTAATATATTTTGCGATATATTTATGGATGTTTCCCCACAAGTGGTCCAAACAATTAATAAATGCTTCAAACAATTAAAGCGTTTGGAAATCAATGGACGCTTTACTGAACAATTCACTACTAATTCATTAAAGTCATTGAAACGATTAACACATTTGAGAATTGATCATTTTCATTTTTCAAACAAATCATTTGCAAATACAGACCAAATCTTCGCTAATATTGATTACAATTTACCAAAACTTCTGGATCTGAAGATAATTGGAGTTATGATTACCGACAATATGTTGAATGCATTGTCAAGACTGACACAAATGCGTTGCATTCAACTCATGGGCACTAATAATAGCACACAATTGGCTGTCAATCATCTCATCACTAATTGTCCCAAAATTAGACTTGAATTGTTTGATATAAACAGGTCGACTACATTGGGTCCCCAATACAACAACCATTGGCGCCCTAATACCTCGGGTTACGATTACATCTTATAAATTTTAAGCATATGTTTTAAATAAGAGTTTATTAGAATTAATTTATTTATTTGATTAACATTCAGATCTTTCAATTCATATAATAAGTAATTTTTGATTGTTTTAAACATTTGATTAGCACACAATTGGCTGTCAATCATCTCATCACTAATTGTCCCAAAATTAGTTTTCAATTGAAAGATATATACGGCAAATGTTATTTTAAGTATTATTAATATTGTTTTATTGATTTACTTGTTTGTTTAGTATAATAACTGTTTGTATGTTCGTATACTAAAGTTGAATAACCTAGTTGCTAAATAAGAACTCTAATTACAAGTATATTAATATCATTACAATTAATATTTGTATGCTTTTTTGCTGCATAATTATAACGTAAACAAAATCAACAATTATTTGCAACAACTATTGCTTTTTATCATAAAAATAAACTTTTAATAAAAATACAAACAAATGTAAAAATAAATTTATTTAAAACACATATAATTTACAAATTATAATAAGCCTTTCATTACTGGTCGTCGACGACAATCTTTGGCGGTTGAATGTCGTGTCCATCTGGCGGTGGATGTGCTGTCTTTGACTGTCTTTTCGACCGAAACACTGCGAGTGCGGCCACAGAGAGACCAATGATAAGTAGTATAACGACGAGTACTATCACGTAAAACAAAAGGGAACCGACAAATGGGTCTGACTTTTTGGTCACTTTGGGTGTCGGTGTTGTGGAAGTGCTTCGTTGACCGCCAAGAGTTGCGTTAAATGTCGTACCGTTGACGTCGACAATAAGTGTTTCCGTTATTCCCGCACCAGTACTCTCACCGGTAGAGCTGTCACTAGTATTGTCTTTGCATTTGAAAAACATCTTAATCGGACCCTATTTTACATATTTTGTCATTTATTATATCATTTTGAGAGAGAGAGAGAGAGAGAGAGAGAGAGAGAGAACGAACTGAGAGAGAGAGAGAGAGAGAGAGAGAGAGAGCACTGACCGCTGGCGATGATGCCATGTCTTTGTCAAAACTCAATATATCATTAGTGTTGGGTTCGATGCCATAGAGTATATCATTGACGACAAACAGCCCCCTATAGCCGGTCTGCGAAACGGTCTGCCACTGGCCGTGGACTCCGCTCTGGAGATTCAACTTCTGGCCCCAAAACACAAAACCACTTTTGCTGATACTGTCGGTGACGACAGCCATACGATTATTGGCCGAGTCATAGGCACCGCTCAAATAGCCAAACTTTTCGGGGTCCACTTTCGGTAATATACCGGCGCCACTCATATTGCCCGTGCATTTCCAGCCAAATGGCATATCCAATGTGTACATTATGTCCGTCACGGCACCCGTCACCTCAATTCTGTACGATTTAAAGTCTAATTGTTTGCCACCGGTTCCCACCACTATCACCAAGTTGTTCAACTTCTGGTTGTCTATATTCTGTACGCTTGGGTCGCCTTTGAATGTCATCGCAAACAATAGTCCGCTAAAAGTTGAGCCCAATTTCATGGCTAATATAGGATTACAATTATAACACCAATTGATAAACTCATTGAATGTTAGTTTGAGATGAGATTTACCCGGCATTAGTCCATCCAATGAGGACTTTGTCACAGTCTTAGCGCTGGCGTCAAAGAGCCAATACTTGTCACCAGTGGTGGTGTAATGCGAGACAATCACCAGACGGTCGGCTAAATTAAAGGCTGAATAACCGGCTTCTGGTGTCGGATCCGCACAGAAGTCGTCGCCAATTACTGAACCCATCATTACTGACACCAATGCTATGCTTTGAATCAACATTGAGATCATTTTAGGCCAGCATTTAATGGTTTGATCCAAAGAAATGAATACAAAATATAATTATTTTCAATCAAAACCGTTTTTTTTGTAAACAAATTTCTAATTAATATTGGTTTAAATATTCTGTGTTTGGAAACAAACAATTAATAAATCATTGCTATAACGCGTGCCGTATATTACAGTCTGTTGTATAGTATTTATAACTAAAACTTTATATAAATCATTTCAAACACATATGAAATGATAATTCACACAATTTTGGATTACATGACAGAAAAGTATTTAAAATTTTGTAAAAAATTAACTCTTCATTAAAAAAAACTCAAAAACCGATAATAAAAACTATTTAAACACACATTTAAAATATAAGAGACACTCATTCACACTACCAGTGCAGCCATATTAAGACACCAATGATAAGGATCTATGATTATCACGTAAAAGGCAACGGATGTGCAATTTATTGTTTTATTTTACTAATAAAAATAACTTTTCATCTAAAATACAAACAAATAATGAAATTATTGAATAAACATTTAATTTAATGACTAAACGGTCTGCCCGTCAGCCGTATTAAATGACCGCACAGTCGGACCGGTCTTTTGTTCACCGGTCGGCGACACAGACTTCTTCGGTGACAACGTCTTTGACTTCTTCGGTGACAATGTCTTTGACTTTTTTGATTGTCTGCTTTGATCCTCCTTTGGATGTCGTGTCGACACAAAGGCTATCAGTGCTGCCACAGAGACACCAATGATCACTAGTATTACCACAAGTATAATCACGTAAAACCAAACGGAACCGATAAATGTGTCCGACTTTTTGGTGGTCACCGGATGTGCTGTCGATGTGGTAGTAGTGCTCTGTTGGTCGACAATAGTTTCGCTAACACTCGTATCGTTGATATCGGGACTAATTGTATCCGTTGTTACCGCATGAGTGCTGTTACCGACGGGACTGTTAGTACTGACACCGATAGGACTGTCGGTCGTATTGTTTTTGCAATCGACGAAAAACTTCTTAATCGTTCCCTATTTTCGCATATTTTGTCAATTATATCATTTTGAGAGAGAGAGAGAGAGAGAGAGAGAGAGAGAG